TTTGTACGAGTATGGTCTAAGTTTTTATTTTGTGCTTTCATCCTCCTACTCACAAAAAAAGCAATAAAACCTTACGTCAATTTTTTCTTGCTAGATCAAGTGACGTGTGATGGACGAGTGGTAACTCAGATGCCTTGTGATTCATAGTTCGGAGGTTCCAATCCATGCTATATCTTGTTTTTTGTCGTAATTTTTCAAATGTTTTTTTTTTCTGGGAGGTTTTGAACATACTTTTTTCTGATTTTCTTTTAAATTGAAACTCATTATTTTACCTGTGATTTTATGGCGTAGAATACGTTTCTTTTTTTTTAGCCGGAATGGTTTTAACGTATGCTATAATCGTGACTTTGGTTACGTTCCTTTTTTGCCGGAGTAATTTTGGCGTATGTTATATGGTCTTAGTTGATGTAACATTGTCGTTTGAATGGCAAGAAAAATATATATATTTTTCTAATATATTCAGGATGGGCGTGGTATAATGTTTTAATGAAAGCAAAAAGGGGCAGCATGTAAAGTCTCTTTAGGTTTCACATTAAGATGCTTAAAATTTTTAATGAAGATTTGTTTGATGGCTTTCCTCCTTCGGCTGAAATAATTATGCCATCAAGAGGTTTCGGTTGAGTGGCCTTGTACCAAAGTATTGTCGATTTAATGGCCCCTCGATAAGCGATGCTAATGGATTATTTAATGCTAATGATTTTGTTTTGTGGCTGTGTTTTACTTTAGTTGACATCAACCATCTGTCGGAAAAATGTATGACTTTTTGTCTTTTTTAAATATAAATGTTTGTGTAAGTGAATTTGTTTCATTTTTTTGTTCGTCAGGTTGCAAGGCTGTGCTTGCAGTGTATCGCAAGCGTTGCGAATCTTCGCTTCGATTTTGTTTTTATCATGGAATCTCAACAACTTCTAAGCTCAATAACAATTCGTCAAGTGGTACAACGCATGCTTTTGGATCATAAAGTCTTAAGCTAGAATCCCGACGGCGCTTTGTTTTTTTTTACTGATAAAGTTTGAATTGTTAGTCTATCCGTTGTGTTTTCATTAGTTTAAATTTACCAAATCTGATATTGTAGTTTTTTCAATTTTTTTTAATCGTTCAAACGTTTCCTGGTTGTTTTTTATTACCCTTGCGATAAGCAAGGTATTGTTATTTAATCAATTTATTCTTTTTAACTGTCCATCAACTTATATCGCATTATGTTTTAGTGTTTCTGTGTGACCTGCTACTGTCGAACCAGCTTGGTTGCGTTGGTTATGCTGAGTTTTTTTGATATACTTTTTTGTACGAGTATGTTCTAAGTTTTTATTTTGTGCTTTCATCCTCCTACTCACAAAAAAGCAATAAAACCTTATGTCAATTTTTTTCTTGGTAGATCAAGTGACGTATGATGGCCGAGTGGTAACTCACTTGCCTTGTGATCAATAGTTCGGAGGTTCCAATCCATGCTATATCTTGTTTTTGTCGTAATTTTTCAAATGTTTTTTTTTCGGGGAAGTTTTGAACAGACTTTTTTCTGTTTTTTTTTAAATCAATTTTTAATTTTATTGAAACTCATTATTCTACCTGTGAATTTATGACTTAGAATACGTTGATTTTTTTCGCTGGAATGGTTTTGACGTATGCTATAATCGTGACTTTGGTTACGTTCCTTATTTGCCGGAGTAGTTTTGGCGTATGTTATATGGTCTTAGTCGCCGTAACATTGTCGTTTGAATGGCAAGAAAAAAAAATATATTTTTTCTAATATATTCAGGATGGGCGTGGTATAACGTTTTAATTAAAGCAAAAAGGGGGCATGATGTAAAGTCCATTGAGGTTTCAATTTAAGATGCCTAAAATTTTTAATGAAGATTTGTTTGATGGCTTTCCTCCTTCGGCTGAAATAACTATGCCATCAAGAGGTTTCGGTTGAGTGGCCTTGTACCAAAGTATTGTCGATTTAGTGGCCCCTCGATAAGCGATGCTAATGGATTATTTAATGCTAATGATTTTGTTTTGTGGCTGTGTTTTACTTTGGTTGGCACCAACCATCTGTCGAGAAAAATGTATGACTTTTTGTCTTTTTTAAATATAAATGTTTGTCTAATTGAATTTGTTTCATTTTTTTTGTTCGTTAGGTTGCAAGGCTATGCTTGCAGTGTATCGCAAGCGTTGCGAATCTTCGCTTTGACTTTGTTTTTATCATGGAACCTCAACAACTTCTAAGCTCAATAGCAATTCGTTAAGTGGTAAAACGCATGCTTTTGGATCATAAAGTCTTAAGCTATAATCCCACCGGAGCTTTTTTTTACTGATAAAATTTGAATTGTTAGTCTATCGGTTGTGTTTTCATTAGTTTAAATTTACCTATTCTGATTTTGTAGTTTTTTCATAATTTTTTTGTCGTTCAAACGTTTCTTGGTTGTTTTTTATTACCCTTGCGATAAGCAAGGTATTGCAATTGGGTGTTATATTTTCCCCGTCAAGAACTTTGTTCACAGAGTGGTCAAAATTAGAAATGGTAAATTTAGGTTCGTTTTATAATGAATTCAACTTTATTTGCGTTTCTGGCATCCTTAGAGGTAACGAATACGCCTGAGACGGCAAAGCTCCTGGTTCGAATCTTACAGGACCTGATTTTTTCGAACGGGAAGTATTTCTTTTCAAAAAATTGTCGGCTATTTATTCGTCTGCTTATGTTTTGTCGGCTTTGTTGCCACATCGTATAATTGTTTATTTTTGCTATACGCAATTTACCATGGAGATGCTGTAGTTTTTTGATTATTATCTGCTGTTTGTAAATTCTTTACTTCGTATGTTTGTTGTTTGTTTTTTTTTCGCCCAAAAAGTTTGTTTTGACCAAATGATTTGGACGTATATTTAATCGGCTTAGTGACCTAATTTTCAGTCTTTTCAAGGGAATTATAGTTCTTATTCACCGGGTTGCACAACTTGCTAAAATCGTAAAAAGAAATTACTGTTCAAGTTTTTCATGACAAACAATTTTTTCTGCTTTTTTAAACTTTTTTTTCTGCTTGTTCGGTTTCGGCCTATATTATATCGGCATAATGGCCTGCTAATGTGTTCGAAGAGCGACAAAGTTTTGTGTGTGCGTGTTTTTGCGAGGGGTATTTAATATTTTTTTTAATAAACTTAATTTTTTTTTGAGTTTTTTTCGGCTTAATAGATTTGGGCCTATATTATATCGGCTTAGTGGCATCAAATTGTTTCATGTGACGAGCAAAAAATGTATTTTCTTTTGCGTCTGTTTGTGTTTTGAGAAGGACTTGTTAGCTTTTTATAAGTCTTGTTGATTTTTTTCGGCTCTGAGGGTTTCTGCTATGATTTTTTCGGCTTTGTTGCAGCTTGGTAAGTTTTTACTACTCTGGTAAGAGCGAGTCTCTCATTCTATTGTCTTGGCAGGTTTTTTCAAAATTGGCCGGATTCTTCTCGTTTGCTCCAGTTTTTTTTTTATTTTCGAGTTTTTGCCGACTTAGCTGCTTTCAGATTTTATCGCAAGTGGTCCGAAGCTCATTTTCGCCTGTGTGATAGTTCAGTAATCTTTATTAATTTAGTCATATTATTTTTGTCGTTTGATGGAAAAAATTGTTAATGCTTTTTTATGTATAAGAAGGGATTTCGAATTGTTTTTAAATTTTTTGGTCGTTCAAACGGTTCCGGGTTGTTTTATTTTAATTTAGTAATCTGATATTAATTTAATCATCTTATAGTTTTTCGTTTGAAGGAAAAAGTATTTATGCTTTTGTACGTATAAAGAGGGAGCTTGATTAACACTGGTGATTGCGTTTCTCGACTGTTTTTCTTATTTTTGAACATCATTCTAGACAAACTTATGAGGTTCTTGCAGATGTAAGGACAGTAGATGTTTCTTTTCAGCATTTTTGTTCAAATTGTTTTACCTATTTAGTGGCTAGCTCATTTTTTATTCGCTAGCTTGAAATGATATGTTCGTGTTGTATCGAAAGTTTTGTTATCTTGATGTGAAAGACAGCATAATTGACCGAATGCATGATTTTGCGGAGATATGATTGGTCGATGTGTTCTTGGCGCATGCGAATCTTTTGTTTTTAAGAGTCGATGAATCTTAGTCCAGACTCTTGTGAAGGTCGGGATGATTTTTTGTTTTCTGTTTCGGGAAAAAGTTCACGCTCAGTTTTGATTTTCGCATTTTGACCTGCGACTTCTTTTTAACAATTAAGCTTTTCGAGTTTTTTCTGCCTTTTTTTTAAATTAACAAAAAGAATTAGTTATATCCCTATCTCAGGGCAAAACTAACAAAATTATTTTAAATCCGAAGAAAGATTTTGAAATTTTGAAAACAGTAGCGGATTCGTGTGAGTCTCTCCCCCCCCCCCCCGCCCTCTCTCCTTCTTCAGGGATTCGACCCCCTCACCGACCTTATTCATTTTTTAGCCAAAGATGATAGATGTCTCATTTAACTATGGCAGTATAAGGTTTGGTTTCGCAACTAGATAATTTTAAAAATCAGCCTTATGTTACCATAGATGAATGAGGTATTTATTGTCTTAGTTTCCTCTCTGGTGAGTTTTAACCCAATTCTTACTTGTGGTTATTCAAAATTTACAGGGCCAGAAAAATGTATTTACTGGGCTATAAAATCCAAAATTCCATCATCTGAAGTTTTCAATGGATCATAAATTAGTTTATCAAGTTCTTTTTGGTCCAGCAGTTTCATGTGTGGTCAAAATTTGTTGTTTTCACAAGTGTATTGAAATGAAATCTTTCTCCAAAGCTTTTTTTAGATAAAATTAAGAAATTATGAAAATGTTGACTCCGTTAGTTTTAAGGGGGATTTTTCACAAGTTTGCCTGCGGCGGTGCAGAAAATGTACCCTAAACAGGATTTTCGTAGTGTTTTGTCGCGCCTGATTGAAATTGAAAGATCATTATGGTGATGTAATTCGTTCTACAAAATCGAAAATGGAAAACGCTTTTCCAACTGTCTACTAACTTGAATTTTTTCCAAAAATATTTTAGAAGAAGTCTTTCAGCTAGTTCCCGATTCTCCTGCGAGTTCAAATAAAATCACAACTGTCAAAAAAGCAGAAAACCTTTCACTTATCAACAAAACGAGCACAGCTCCTTCCAAAGCGATATCTGAAGACAAGGTTTCACAAAGTGCGCCGGGGGTTAGCGAGGACCTGTCTAGTGGAAAACTGCCTAACAACTACTACGAATCAAGTATAAAATTTTCATTTGACGTTCATTCTGCTTTTGTAGTTTGCAATGAATTGCAATGAGTTCTCTGTGCGACAGATATAAAATCTCAGTAAAATAAAAATGGTTGTTTTTAAAACAATTTTTCTAATGGGGCCCTCAAATGTTATTTTAGTGTGGCTATTTGAACATGAAAATGTGACCCCAGAGAAAAAATTTTTTAAATAGGATTAATTTAAGCTTTTTGTTTTAGACGAATCAGGAACGTTTATCGGGGACCACCTGTACCTCATTGCTGCAGCGACTTGTTTGTGTATAGGCATCTACGCTCTACTTCTTAAGAAAAACAGGGTTAGAAAAAAGTATTGGTTGAATATGTCACCAACCGAAGGGTTTCCCTTTGGTATTTTGCGAAAGCCTCTTCTGGTTTACTTACTAACTCTTAAAGTTTTCTGAAATCGCCAATATGAACCGATTTTGGTGATGTGCGCGTGCCCGAAAAACGCGAATTTCGTTTTCAAAGCTTTCCAAAAAGCTTTCCGAATATGGTCATTCAGGAATTTCGGCAGAGCTAAAAAAAACTCAGTGGTTGACCAAAAACAAGCTCCCTTCTCATCCCGTCAAGGTCAAATATACAAAATATCCTTAGCACGCCACTTCCGGACAATGGTTTTGTGGGTTTGGCTTCCAGTGATTTAAAATAGAAGATATTTTACGATACGAATCAGCGATTTAAAATAGAAGATATTTTCCGAGGCGGATATTTGAATGTATTTTGAGCAAATGTTATGGGAAAATTGAATCCTGTTTAAAAACGTACTTTTCTCTTTGCACCCAGTATATTAAGACAAGCGAGTTGACCGATTCTTCGAATTGAAGCATTTTAATCTGATTCAGATGATTGCCTGCCTGCTCGAAGGAAAAAGACCCAGATCTAAAAAGTACACGAGGGTTTCGATGACAGCTGGCCAAGATGTGAGCGCGCGCATGAGTTGTAGCCAGAGACAATCGGAACACTCACCACCCCTGTTCAAAACGACGTTTGATGACAGCGACGACGAATTGAATTCAGTTGCTGGTCCTGCTGATTTCCCTCCAATGCTCAAAGATTACTAGCAGTATTAGTGCAGTTTCAATCGATTTACAGACACCTTCTCCCATTGTTCTTGTAGTCAAAAAGCATCATTATTTTAGATCTAAAATATCGCGCGAAAACTGCGATGGCTTAAAGGCTAAAAATATGGCATACAATCATTCAATTTTTGCAAATATATGTAAATAATAAATTCTATAGGAAAAAGACATAATTTGAAATTACTTGCGACAAGTAGCTGTTGTGGGTCTCGAGTCTTTAGTGGTGCCATCTTCTGAATTTCTATTTTTGATAATCGCTTGATCTTTTCTGTCGTAGTATAATTTCTAGAAGAAAAGCTATCCGATTTTTGTAGTAGCTAGTAGCAGTCTAACTTTTATTTATTAATGTTCTAGTGACTCGTATTTGATTTGAAATCGATTCAAAGTATAATGTTACAAAGTTACTTTTGATTTTTATTTGTTTTTAGTTTCTAATAAGTCATACCACGTGAGACTGGGTTAAACATTACTGAATTACCCACTAAGGCCCTGAATAGTTTTTTCAATGTCAAGTAGAGTATGTGGTGATACCGGTTTTTGAGTCTTCGAAAGTTTCTCGAGACCAGAATGGTTTACAGGTTCTGTGACGTCAGTCCCGACGCTGCTGGGGAATTTGCCAGGATGAGCGGTGGAGAATACGACTAAAGGCGTGTTCGGATCTCGATTGCGCAATCCGACATCGTAAGACACTGCGGTATGCGGGTCTATCCGATAGTTGTACTCGCGTGCTACTCTGTGCTGGGCTTTTTCGGCGTCGTATTGGAAACAGCAGTCGGCTCGTAGAATGGTCTGAATGCTTTCTAACATGCGACCTAAATTAAAGGGAAATTTTTAGACAAATAGCTGGTTGCTGTGCAACTAGCACCGAGAGTTCCGATTGTAGTTATCAATTAAAAAATTTTGAAAAATGAGCAAAATTCGAATTTCAAGGGGAAAGTATTAACTCGCAGATAATAATTTCTTCAAAAGTAGCTTAATTACGCTTGTGATTAGAAAGCATTATCAAATCAAAATATAGACTTTTTCAGGTTAAGAACTTGTTCAACAAAATCACTTCATCATTTGTGCAGCTCATTTTCTTGAAATTTCAAATTTAACATCTAGTACTAGTTACTACTGGTTGGTAAATGCTAACTATAGAACTGAACCCGGGTCATGTATAATTATAGAACTTCTATATTTTTCTTATGTTTTTTAAGCTTCATGGTTGTAGACTTAAGCTCTGTCGATTTAGTTTCCGAATTGTGTAAACTCTGTTGTATAGACTACCAATTTAGCGTTCGTATGTCTTATGTGGCAGGTAGATGCAATTTTGAAAGTTTTCAAATAATCTTAAAATTTTCGATTAATCTCAAACACGAAAAAACTTCTGTTTTTTGTCATGCTCTTCTCCTACTAGACTGTTGTTACAGAAAGTTGAGTTGATAGGATTTTGAGCCAATTATTCTGTTCGTTTACTTGCTTTGTAGCCTATCTAGGGCGATCGTAATAAAACAAAATTGAAGATATCCAACGCAATTCGCACAGTTGTAAAAACCTTGATTGAGAAGAGAATGGCCTAGTGTTCGATTATAGTCCAGAAATAAGAGGAGCCATTTGAACTCCCTAGGAACATCGCTCATGCGAGAAATGAAGGCAAGGCAAACAGCCTTCCAGACAACAACTAAATGTGCAAAAAAGAAAACTCGATACGGGAACCACGCAAACAGCTGAGTTTGAAACCCATTTCGAAAGGGTCTCAAAGGATTGCTAGGAGATAGATTCTAGCACTTATGGGAACAGTTAACAGGATGAAGTTTTTGAGCAACGATCCTGTGCCACTAGCAGAAAAAGAGGATCCGAACGAAAAGGTCTCTGCCAAAGAAATAGAGGAAGAGTTAATGGACGTTAAGGATTCCGCGCCTGGGAAAGACGATATCTGGATGGTTATGGAGGATGGACGCCTTTCAGTAGCAGAACCATGTATGATCCATCTGGGTCGGAAGCAAGATTCATCCAACAACTTTCTCATGCCTCGAAGACGACAACGTGTTTTTGACTCGGAAGCAGAACGACCCAGCCAATCTGTCTTCTACGCCAACGGCTGAACTAATGACGGCCCTGCTCATGATGCTAATCATAGCAAGCATTGAAATACACCCGCGCCCTGGGCCTCAATTATGTACCGTCTGCCACCAAACTTTCCGAAATTTTCAGTATAGTGTTTGGTGCCACTACTTAGGTTGGGTCCGGTCCATCTTCAATGAACAAAATGTAAAAGGCCTCAGGAGTGGAATAAAAGTTACTATTGCGGCGATTATGACTGGTGCCGATCAACTGCTACACAAATTCCAACCCCAGATCCGCAAGTTTGAACTGAAACTGAAACTACCAATTTCAAAATACTCCATTTTATTGCCAATGGTCTAAGAAACATAATAGATGGTATCATACAATACATGAATACTAACAACATAAAAAAGCACCTGAACCTACAGCTAAACAACATTGACAAACATCTTGAACAAATTAGAATCAAAATCAAATCGGGGAAAATTAAATGTCTACATACCCCTGCAGTCTAGCTGCGATTCCGAATATAGTGCCTCCCTTTAACAGTTGAAATAGAGGATGCCATAATTGTGAGAGACGTAAACGCACACAGCAACTTATGGTTTTCAAAACTAACAAACGACATTAGGGGTGAAAACTTAGCCAACAAAATCGATGAATGTAATTTAATTATTTGGAACGAGGTGGAATCAACTCGCTTTACAGATTCATGTACTAGCTCTCCCGATGTTAGTCTCACGTCACCAAACTTAGCAATGAGCTCAAACTTGAGCACAGAGCTTTGTCTAGGCTCCGATCACATTCCAATCACAATTACCCTTACTTGCGAAATAGATGTAGTACAAACGAAAGTTCATTAAATTCCGTAAAGCCGATTGGGTGAAATTAAGAGAAGAACGGAGGAAATGTTCTCAAAAAACAGAAGAACCCAGCTGCGCTTTGAGTGATAAAAGTGTTAACAGAAATAACATAATCGAAGCTGCCTCCCACTCACATTCCTCATGGACACATGCCGAAAGTTATACAAACATGCCTTCTGAGGCCATAAAAACAATGAAAGAACGAGGCGATCTCCATAAGATATACCCAGGTCACTCTAACATAAGTACTTTAAATACGAAAATCAACAACATCCAAAACAACAAAAGAGAAAAATGGATTACTTTTCTCAAAAGCCCCCATAAAGTTAACTCAAGCAAATTTTTGTCCACCAATAAATCTCTACCTGGACAAACTCCCCCCAAAACACCCAACAAGCCCATCATATTCCACGATACACCTTTTTATGGCGCTAAAATTTGTGCAAATTGTTTAAACGAACAGTTCCTATCCCTCCCAGAACACCCTGACAAAGAAAAAAGAAAATTAATCGCCATATCAGAAAACTAGACTTTTGTAAAATCACCATCTCTTCACTGATGGTACAAGAAGTCATTAAAGAATCCAAGAACATAAAAGGAATAATCCGACTCCCCAAACCGGGTAAAGTTCTAGAGCAATCAAAAGCTTCATCCCTATCGCCTTATTATCGCCAATTTCCAAACTGGAGGATAGGATTTTTTTTTACCTGAACTACATCACAATATACAGTTAGCAGACCATCAACTTGGTTTCAAGAACGCCAGATCTACCGTTACTGCTGTAAATAATGTAGACCATCACATAAAAGAAGGGTTAAATCATGGAAAACCATGTCAACGAACCCTTATGACTGCCGACCGCGGCGTTTGATAGGGTTAACCATAGTGTTCTTCTTGGTGACAAATTTAATACAACCCTAAACAATACGAAACGATTGTTATTATCTTACCTACAAGGCCGCTTCACATATGATGAATTTCGGGACGCAAAATCCAGCTTGAGAAAACTTATATAAAGTGTAACGCAAATTGGTGTTCTCTCGCCCACACTCTTCAAATTCTATATGAGCTATATGCCTAATCCATGTGAAAATGTTGAGGTGGTCACTTATGCTGATGATATAACCATTCTAACATCTGGTTCACAATCGAATCAATGTCTCAAAAACAGGCATCTTAAAGTGTCACTCGAAGACAAACCAGTAGCAACTCTTTTAATTTCGTGGTCTGCCGAAATAAACAATGAAACCAAAGTTGATATTGGAGGGTATCGACTCAAAACATCAAAATATTCGAATTATTTGGTTGTTATATTTGACAACAAGTTCACGTTCGGAACAAACACAAGTTATGTTCACGACGAGTTCAGCCCAGAAATAACATCCTTAAAAACTTGCTTGTATCAAATGGGGTTGTCATAAATAAACCTTGGCCATCAGTTACAAAACAATCAGCCGTAGCGTTATGAACTACGCCGCACCCACCTGGGTCCCAAGTTATAGCAACAACAACTCGTCAAAACTCCAAGTCAAACAAAACAATGTACTTAGAACCATAGAACCATAACTGGCTCTGTTAAATGACGCATATTGATCATTTACACAATGAAACTGAAATTCTCCCTCTTCAAGAGCAGAATGAAATGCCAGCCAAACACTTCGACCTCGGAATCCATATTCTGGAACGTGCAGATCCTAGAACTTGAGCATCAGAGAGCAGACGCACCCTGAAAGCATCATTGAATTCTAAATATGAAACAGGAGTTGTCACCTCCTGTCAACTGACTCAGTTCTGAAAATTAATAAGTACAAAAATGGTCTAAAACAGCTGGATACCAAAATGTTAAAGATTATTCAGTAAGCCACCACAGTAAACTTCTGGGTATCACTAGCCTTGCAGTAAACTTCGAATAAGAAAAGAAACTCACACGAGAGGCTAGGTGCACGCTTATACAGCTCCGTTCTGGCTAGTCACCTAAAACTGGCAAATATATGCAACATTAGTAATCTTAGTCTCCATGATGTACATCATTTATTCAACTGCCCTGGCAGACCGACAGCTATGAAAATCCTAAGTTTATGGACTCACCCCTGCGTGTAGCTGAATTCCTTCAGCTCGCATAGCACGTTGGAGCGGGAGAGTTAAGCTCCCTTCAAGAATTTTTGAAGCTGACGGAGGATGCTGACCTCTCAACAACGCAATAAAACGCGAGAACCATTCAGACGAGCCCAGTGTTGAAACGCTGTTCAAGTAACCCATATATGTGGCATGCTCTACCTATCCCATCGGGAGCCAATAGCACTGGACTATGGACGAGACGAAATCACCATACAAGGCCGAAATAAACCACAACAATGTCGTCTAGAGTCAGCGAGGCTAGTTCAACAACAACAACGACGATATCTTGGTCAAATATCAAATGTCCTAGAGCGAGCAGATGTGACGACGCGCTCAAAACCAGCCAGATCGTCTCTCTCCACGAAATAAAGGTTTAAAAAATGATGTCAACAAGTATTGAGCAGTTTGCCTGTTCGGCAGCAGAAACTTAGCTAGGAGTGACTTCTTAGGTTTTGGTAAGAATCTCCTAAGACAGCAGATCCGAAAAGATGGAGAGACCACCTAAACTTTCCCGTAAAGATTTGCGAAATTACAGGATGAAAGGTATGTTATGCTCTTGGACTCCCTTGTATACTTAAATGAATCAGCGGAACACCAAGTGAAAACCAGGAGATGGATTCCGGAAGATGGAGGAAACCAGGAATGGATTCCGGAGTGAAGTTTGAGGGAGGTCCAGATTGTTAAAAGATTCAGGGCTCAATTTGAAGAGAGTAACGAAGACAAGGAAAATTTTGCAGTATTTGGAACGAGAGAAGAAGAGGAAGTAAGAATGCTTAGCGCTGGCTCAGGCCAAAGGAGGACCTTGTGCACAAGTGATAAAACACTGCAATCGTGGATTGACAAAATATATTGTTATATGGGGACAATAAGAATGGACCCCCGCTCTTTCAAATGCAAAACCAAGGGAAAAACAAGCAGAACTTCAGGAACAGTTTGAATGTAGAATCTCTAAGTTCGAAAATTGAACTACGGACCCTTGAGAGAATAGGTCTTGTTCTTCGGAAGAATAACACTGGTCACCAAATTAGTGCCAGTAGTTTGGCTAAAGAGCCTAGAAAACATAAAAAACGCCCTGGCAAGAAGAGGAAAAGCCTATTCCATAGGCGCAAACTTTCGCGCGCTTCAGGTGTTAATTGGTCAGAAGCGGGCTCATTTGCCCAAGATAGCAAAAATAGAATTACACAGTGAACCAAAGACTGACACTTCTAGAAGTATGGGAACGCCAAAAAACTACAACCATTGCTAAAAGAAATCGTAGAAGAGAGCAACTTCAGACCACGAGCGCAGTTAGTTTTTCTAATGTGGAGAGATTTGTATGGCTGCTGGTGGACTGAAAATAGACGTTAAAAGGAAGCATGCCGAATCCAACAGTTCCTTTGAGTGTCCAATCAGCCAGGGCATTTGTAAAATAGAATCGGCAGTGAAAAGACACCTAGAAAATGCAACACTTCAGACGATGGAAGCAAACCTTGGAATTATCAGCGAAAATCACGTAGCTGGCGTTGGAGCGGAAAAGAACGGTTGGCAAGAAATATGGCCCGACTTAGTTCCCACAGATTGTGCTTGTAATTGAGCTTCAAGTTTTTTTTTGTATCTTTTGTAGAAGTTTTCATAATTTTTTCGAGAAAAAAAAACGATTTTTGGAATGTTATAAAAATTGTGATAGGTAGATTTCAGTCATAATTATTCCATTTTGAATCTGAAATCGGCGGTAGGGTCACATCAAGTCCAAGAAGGTAAAATTTTTGATATTGGCCTCTATTACCTCCCAAAATATCAGCCCTCGACGGCCAAGGGAGCCTCAAAAAGTGTATTTTTTTTTAGAAATTAAATTGAACTTTTGAAAAATTTATAAAATTTGTTAAAATAAACAGAGTTAGGAATGACTTAGTAAACAGAGTTAAATTTTACAAAGCTCTGATTTGCCTCTTTGAGTCATTAATGTTAAAAAAATAGGAGAAACCCTAGAAACTGTATGAAACAAACAGTCAGTCCTGTAAATTCATAGGTTTATTTTTCAGACTAATTTTTCTCAACTTTGGTTAATTTTTTTTTGATTTTTATCAGTATGGCTTTACTATGATACTAGTCTGAAAGGTTCCATGACATTCTACCCTATTCCAATGTACCCTGTGCTAATCTACCCTATACTATTCTATCCTACATATCGACACAGGTTAAACTGGTATATAGGGCAGATTAGTATAGGGTAGATTAGTATAGGGTAGATTAGTACAGGGTAGATTGGTATAGGGTAGATTGGTATGTAGGGTATAATGGCATAGGGTAGAATGGTATAGGGTAGTTTGGAATAGGGTAGATTGTCCTGCCACAGTCTGAAACCTGCAGGATTTTTGGCGTAATTGAAATCGCGTGAAAAACTTATCCCGCGCCTTATTACCATCCCACTTGTGAAGAGGCAAAAAAGCTAAAAAGTATCTATAAGAATACCAGTTTAACCAATTTTTTTTGTTTAGGTTTTCATATGGTCAGAGGGGATTTTAGGGGACTTAGCACTTTGCGTTGACTTTTAAACGTTTTATATGAGAATTATTATAAATGAATAACTTGAGTTTTTCTTTAAAAGTTTATTTTCATTATGTTTTTCCTTTAGTTCTTAAATAAAAAAGCCAGAAATGCATATGCATTTAGTACATAATGGGGTAAATACACTAGGATCATGTTTTTTTTAGTAAATTTTTAGAAAAGTCAATCTGATAAGTGTGTCTAACCTGGTAGTTTGAAGATCCTTTTTCGTCTCAGACTACTGTAGTAGTTCCGAACCACTACTGAGTTTTGATGAGTTACATCGAAAATGAACCGTTCCAAATTCGATGGCTGCAAAATATCAATAGCAGGCGATGTTGTTGAGACTAAATCACGCTTTATGTCAAGAGAACCAATATGAACAAAATCTGTGAGAACATTGTTTTCATTGGATGCCATGATTAGTCGACGAATAGGCAAACCCATCTTTTGGGCTAAGAAAGCTGAGTAAATATTGCCAAAGTTTCCAGAAGGGATGGATAAATCTACAGGGCTTCCGACATCAATTAAACCTCGCTGGACAAGTTGGAAGTAAGATCCGAATTGCATCCCAATTTGGCCGATGATTCTGCCCCAGTTTACAGAGTTAGCTGAACATAAGCGATAAGAACCGTTCTGTAGATCAGAAGCGGCTTGTTTACGAAAGAATCGTTTGACTAGCTGTTGACAATCGTCGAAGTTCCCTTGCACTCCTGGTAGAAACGAACATCAATATCAATGACTTGTATTTATTTCATTTTATCATTCTCCAATTCTATGGCACATGATCGGTAAGCTCGTTTTTCCGCCAAAAATGAATAGTTTCTTACACTTGCTAAAGCAAGTGTCTTGTAATCGGGAACTAGTCTTTACCGTTATTAACTTTTACACATTTTCAACTTGCTTTATTATTACTTTTTCGAGCAGCTACTGTATTAGTACGAACCTTCCTTTTTTTCTAAGCTAATTCGCAAAAAAGTGTTAATTGAAAGTGGAAAGCGTTCACTTATTTGGTGGCACTTTTGAAATAATCACGATCTAGGATAGGAAATTTCATAGCATCTGTTCTCTTTGTTTGTGGCTAGTGTTTGTGATGTATTAAGCGTGCGTGGTTAGTGCGTGAGATTGAAGAGCTCTAGGTCGCAGGTTGAATCCGATACGTAGACGAATCTTACTAACTCGAGGCTTATTTCTATTTTTTATAGCCCTTGATACAGCTAATTTTTGTAGTGTTATCGTTAGTGTTTGCGAAGCGAAAGTTCGCCTCAGTGTTAGCACTTAGCAACTTGTAGGTTATTTTCACACTTGGCGTGGCCGTCACCTTTCCCTCTTAAGGTCCATGTCGGATTTTTATTCAGTATCTATGCGATGAAATTTTTTTTCCGGTTAAAATTGATTTGTCGGACTTTCTTTTTTTCTGCTCCAATTTTGTCGGCTTAGTTGCCATTTCACTGATTTTTCTTGTGCTGTAAGCAAGTTTGTTGGTAGTTGCAAGTGTTTTTCATTGTAGTTTCAGGAGGCTTGAAAGTTTTATATAAAATCGTTTTTTTTTTCGTCTCAACTGATGTCTGGTCAAAGTTTGTCGGATTTGTACCGATTTGTAACTATTTTACCGATTTTCAAAAATATGTATCAATGGAAAGGCCGCCTACTTCTCTGTGTGCATGCATACTCTCCTTGTCTCGTTTTGGACCGACTGTAATTTCAAAAGACGTGTAGAAAATCCAGAAATGGTTTAGCAGTTTTTCCAAGCATATATTACTTACCATTCTTGTTTGCTATCTATTTAATCATGATAAGAAACTAGCCGTAGACCTCTGACAGTGGAGGGTTGTGATAATGAATCATCTGCGACTGCTGGATCTTGCTGACATTGCTGAATGGATACAGCACCATTGTCCTCATCTGATCCGAATCGGACGTCGCCTGAAGACGCTGGAACCCATCCAGGGTAGCTCCTCCAGTGTCGCCAGATGTGGCCACCAGAATGAGTATTCTTTGTTTTACTGAGTTGGTTTCTAAAGCCAATTTGTAGAAATGGGGAAGTTGTTGTAACGGGAAATCTTTGAAGGAAGCAGTCGGTCCATGAAACAACTCGCTCACAAAGGTGTTATCTAAAAAAGCAACATGATAAATTCAGCGCAAAATAAACTATTGGGCATTACATAAATAACCCATCTCTAACATATTAAGTCTGAGCTTGATGATTGAAAACGAATAGCAAGAATTTATATCGATTTTACTCTGCAAAATTTTGAAGTTTTTATGAGAAAGAACGAAGTGAAGACTCTCATTTGGGTCGCGTAGCTTCGTTTTGTTTTTAAGAATAAAAAAGTTTTTCGCGTTCAAAATTGATTTGTCGGGGTTTTATTTTTGATTTGTCTTCAATTTCGTTTCAACTTCGATGGCTAGAAGAAGGCAAAATTCATGCTCCTCTAATCAAAGTGCAAAGGGCAGGAAAAAACGTGCATGATCCCAGTTTCGAAAATGAATTTTCAGCGGAAAGTAGATTTGACTGCGGATTAAGAAAACCACCGAGCGAGTCAGTTCTCTCAAATTGATTTTGTTTGGGTAATTATTAAATTCAAATACCTATAATGTGATATGTTTTTTTTTGTATCTCAATTGAATTTTTTGGAAAATTTTTTGTTTCGGCTCCTAGTCTTGTCTAAAAGTGCTTCAATATGACGCCCCTTTTAGTCATCGATAAGTTAACTGGTTTTCGTTAAAATTAGAAACGGTGACACCGAAACCAAATTACTATCTCCCACTAGAAGTTCAGTCGAAAATATAAATGATTATTAAGTTCGAATCTGTTCACAGCTAGAGTTACAATGCTTCCAGCTCAGCAGACATAGTCAAATTTTGTGTCACTTTCTGAAATTTTACCTGTGAGTTTCTGAATTTTAATAGGATTTGCCGGGTCCGCGAATGATTGGTACGCCTGGCCAATAATATTTTTCAGATTCTGTGGACTGACAGCCAAAGGATCAATCAACCGTTCTTGAACCCTTGTGATCAAGTCGACCCACGGCAAATCTGCCAGTCTTTCTAAGTGTGATTCGCTGAATGGAGTGAACTTGACGTTAGGACAATAAAGACCTCCGTCTGATGCGACACTTTCAAGAATAACATCCAGAAAACTGAGGTTACTGGGTTCCGAGTCTTCTTCATTTTGAGGGTGCCTCGTTGAAACATAGGTTTCAGGTCTCGACATCCGTTGAACGCAATCCATGACTTGAGCGAAAACTTCATTTTTGTCTGCGTTTTTGGGTACTAGCGCTCTGAAAATTAGGCAGTTCAGTAACGTTTTTTTAGTCTTTCTAGAAATGCAGATGCTTTCTCTCACCTATAATCGTATGCCTTGTCGTATTTTTCTGCTCTCCATGCAAGAACATCTTTGATGGAAGCCCCTGGCTTGTGTCGAAATATTCTGTCAACTTTCATAATTCCTAGCCTGAAAGGTCATAGTAGTGCTTGTGATATACGGATTAGCTGGTCGGACTTAAAATGTGTAGACAATTTGGTACCCTCAATTGCGAAAGAAATAGCTGCACAGCCCGAGAGTTTTTTTTCCAATGTATATCAAACTATGCTCTGTTGATAATGGTAACTTACCGAATCCTAAAGGTCGATGACTTCTTACAAACGATTTCAACTCTGTTTTTAAAACAACTTCAAGGCGCTTTCATCAAATATGATCATTTTTTTTAGAGAGCAGTGGGGTCATTTCCAAAGTTTTTTTTAAATGAGAGAGTTACTGACTGACTTTTTAAACGACTTAATGGGTTGGAAATTGTGATTCCTTGATTATAATAACGCTTAATATTTCCAAAAGGTTGCGATGATTTACCTCTCGATGATATCGTCTGATTGCACGTCAATGTAAATTGTGGAGCCCAGCGTGCGCATATGCTGTGCGGCCCTAGGACACAGAGGCACAGATCCAGTGAGAGATATGATGTAGCCCTTGTCTTTGGGCAAACGAAGTTGACAAAATGCATCGCTCTCAGCTTGTTGAATTGTCTGAACGTTTTATAGTGGTTTACATGTCATTGAGCTCGCTTAATTACTTATAGGAAAAGATTGGGTGTGCGCCAAATATCTCACTTGAAAATAAAAGTTAATTTCTATGAAGTTTTTCATATCTGGTCTTCCACGCACTAAGGAATGGCGTCTTAAAAAAGGCTTCTATAAAGATGGATGGTTTATTGCTGGTGGGTAGTGGGTTGTGACTTGCTTTAGTTGACCAACTTCATCTAGTTTAATATTTTAAATCGGAGAAGCACGCTCCAGTTTTGTCTGAATTTCTGTTAATTTTTCTGGATCGTTACAGAAATCGTCCCTAAATTATTGTAACTGTGAGAGCAAGTGTTTTAAAGCCGGGAACTACATTTTTTGTGTAACAAGTTTTCTGGTAGTTATGTCAAACAAGGTGATGAATTTAAGAAGTGGTCACTGTAATAAGAATTGATGATCACAGCTCACTTCTCTTTACATGATAACTCATCCATCAACTGTATTTATTTAAAAGTTACTTTTTTAAATAAAAGTAGACTTTTTAAAAGTAGACAGACTTTTTCCCGTAAGGAACTTTTCGTGCAAATCTGTAAGAAATTGGACTTGCTTTATATTGGAACTAAGGCAACTTATGGCCGCAACTTATGGCCTCATTCCGACTTGGTCTTGTGGTGAGGCATGTGCTTTTGGTTCGGAAGGTTTGAAGTTCGAACAGCGAACAAGTATTGTTTTTTTTTCGAAAAACATCGTCCTTAATTTGCTTTTTTTTCTATCTGCTGAAGTTCCACAGTATGGAATTTTGCTCTGATTTGGTCATTTTTGCTCTGATCATTTGAAAAATGGGGAGGAACTTTGTATTCGGGTGTTTTTTAGTTTTTGTTTCTTATTTTCCTCGCAAAATCAGCTACCACAAAAAACATCGGAGAGAGTTGAATGATATATCACATTACTGCTTTTCAATCGTAATTCGAACGACTTCTGGATAAGTGTTCCCAGTGTCGACGAGAAAAACCGGTTCGAGTAAATGAAACGGGCGAGCAGTCTTGCAATAGCTTACTTTCATGGCTTTAAAGCTTTCACTGGCTTAATTTAAATCGTATAACCTAAGTTTTACTCGAGTAAAGCTAGTCATTTTTTGTATTTTAGCGCGTTTTTGGAATCAAACATTCAAAAAACTGCATAAAAAATGAAAAAAAATTTGTTTTCCGAGGTATTATTCTTCAAAAATTGTTTTCCAATTTGTGTATTTTTACTGACTGTCGACTATGCCTAAGCTTTAGTTTTTTGATCCTTTTATCATACCACGCCGAAAAAACGAGACTAAATTTAAAAAAAAGTTTTGCTGTATTTAAGACTATGGTCTGTGAGAGCAAGTGTTTTAAAGACGGGAACTACATTTTTTGTGCAAGTTTTCTGGTAGTTATGTCAAACAAGGTGATGAATTTAAGAAGTGGTCACTGTAATAAGAATTGATGATCACAGCTCACTTCTCTTTACATGCTAACTCATCCATCAACTGTATTTATTTAAAAGTTACTTTTTTAATTAAAAGTAGACTTTTTTAAAGTAGACTTAGAGTAGTAACTGGCTTCCTTGTTTTCCACTGCTAATGAAGTTCGTTTTGTAGTTTGTAAATTTACCAAGTCTGATTTTGTTCCGTTTTTGTTTTTTTTTTTGTCGTTTGAATTGTTTCGGCTTTATTATATTGGCTTATTTTGATGATATTTTGATTTTGATGATATTTTTGCAGATTTTCAAGTCAAACTAAATTTTGGATTAATTGGGAATTTTCTAATTTTCCAGGGCTAGCTTATAAAGTGATTTCCTGTGAAGTTTTATCTTTCAGAATATTTGTGGAGAATTTTTAAGAGGGAATTGGCGCTTTTGATTAAGATTTTTGTTTGTATTAGGAATTTTAAGGCATAAAAATATTGGGCGCTTTCTTTTTATGTATCGCAAGCGATGCGAAGCTGCGATTCGAATGCGTTCAGCATTAATTTTTGCAAGTCTATCTATATCTATCTATCTATATCTATACTATATTTAAATGCGAGTGACAGCTATCTCCCATGTTCAAGCATAATAATTTTGCATGTTTAACGAAAGAATTTTTTCATGTTTAAGCTATATTATATATTGCAATGCTTAAGAAATTTTTTCAATTAGTTTTTCGCAAGGTCAATATTTTTTCATTAATTTTTTTTCGAGGCCAAATTTAGTCTGTCTGTCTGTTACTGCTTTTTCATTTAGTTTCATTTATTTTCAATACCTATTTTTTTCTAAATTAAAACTTAAATTTTCAAAAAACTTGATGTAATTTTTGTTTTCAAAAATTGAAAACCTTTACCCTGTAGTTTTGTGCTGTCAAAGGTACTCTCAGGGGTTGCGAATCTTGCCTCGAAATATGACTGCTCAAATCCTTGCAGTGTTCGAGATGACGTTTTTTGTGTTTTTTTTTTTGAAAATTTCAAAAAAATTGAATTACTTTTTTTCAAATTTGAAATTCCTTGTCTTGTAGTTGGGTGCTGTCAGGGTACTCTCAGAAGTTGCGAATCTTTCCTCTAAATTTGACTGTTCAAATCCTTGTAATTTTCGAGATATGACGATTTTTGTGATTTTTCAAAAAAATTTCAGAAAACTTAACGATTTTTTTTTCAAAATTCCCAACCCTGTAATTGGGGGCTATCAGAGTACTCTCAGAAGCTGCGAACCCTGTCTCCAGTTATGACTGTTCAAATCTTTGTAGTTTTCGAGATATGACGTTTTTTGTGATTTTTTCAAAAAAATTTCAAAAACTTAAATTATTTTTTTTTCCAAATTTGAAAATCATTACCCTGTAGTTGGGTGCTGTCAGGGCACTCTCAGAAGTTGCGAATCTTGCCTCCAAATATGACTGCTCAAATCTTTGTAGTTTTCGAGATATGACGGTTTTTGTGGTTTTTCAAAAAAATTTCAAAAAACTTCAATTATTTTGTTTTCAAAATTTGAAATGCCTTACCATGTAGTTGTTTGATTTCAGGGTACTCTCAGCGGTTGCGAATCTTGCCTCCTAATGTGACTGCTCAACTTCTTGTAGTTTTCGAGATATGCCGTTTTTGTAATTTTTAAATTCTTAAAAATTTGAAATTCGTAACCATGTAATTGGTGCTGTCAGAGTACACTGAAAGCCTGCAGATCTGGTTTCCACTATATACGGTTTTCTCTGAGTTGTCAAAAGTTCGAAGCACCGGTGGTGCGTTACACGCTAGTTCAATATTAATTACGTTTGAAAGGTTTGGTATGATGTATATAAGTTTCGGGGGGTATAGTCCGTCTTTCTCGTCAAATAAGCATTTTAAAAAGCAAGATTAGCCGAGAATGTTCTGACAGTTATCAGTGCCTAAACAAAAAATCGAAAAACGTTTTTTTTTGTAAAGTGAAGTTATTATTTCACCACATATTATAGTATGCCTGTAGAACGCATTAATCAACCGTTTATCTGTTTTTTTGTGAAGACTTGTTCATTAGTGAATTGAGAAAGGGCTTTGATATGATATATCCCTTAACGTTTTGAGTTTTCTTCGAAGTAATCAAACCAGCTGGAAAAATTACCCTACGCCATTGTTTCCCATCCCACTTTGGAAGGCTGAAACTATTACCTCGTATCCTTGTGGTTCCAACTCCTTCACTTTGTCCGCCACAGCCATGCCCCAAAATGGCTCAAGGTAGTCATCGTCAATATCCACCACTTCCCATCCCAATTTCTCTCCCAGCATCTTAGCCACAGTAGTTTTTCCTGATCCAGGAGCACCAGCAAGGACAATGTTTCTGGGCGGGGCGGCAATACCAGACAAAAATCTGAGGGCCACATGGTTCAGGCTGCCATTATAAATTAGCTTCAAACTGAGTTTCATTGCTGTAACTTTTGACAACAAACTGCAATTTTGGTAGATTTGAACTCAAAATTGTGAACAAATTATCAAATGGAGCTTATTTTGTATATTAAACACTTGACTAGTACTAGTATTTAGTCAAAGTATTGCTTGCTATCTCATTGAGATCAAGTACATTTAAGCTTATGTAGGGCCTTAAATGTTTCATAATATTTCAGATAATCGCATGAAGACAGCATCAGTCTGGTGTGACATTTTGACCGGCAAAAATGAGTCCTCCGCCAAAACAGTCCACGACATGTGCTACAGTCCCGACGGCGCCCAGGTGATTGTTGCGGCCGGCAATCACGTAGTAATATATGATGCGATTGAAGGAACTGTAATCAATGCTTTGAAAGGTCATAAAGACACAGTTTACTGTGTAGAATATGCAAAAGATGGAAAACGTTTTGCGTCCGGATCGGCGGATAAGCAAGTCATTATTTGGTCCAACAAAGGCGAAGGTATTGTGAAGTACCCACACAATGATTCGATCCAGTGTCTGGCGTATAATCCGGTCACTCAACAGTTGGCAAGTGGGGCTATTTCGGATTTCGCGCTGTGGGCCCCGGAGGCTAAAAATGTGACGAGGAACAAAGTTCCTGCTAGGATAACTTCCTGCAGGTACGTGTGGTGTTTTGTACTTTGTAGTTTCAGTTTCCATAGTTTTGAAATTTGAATTATTTGAGAGCTTAGGTTTATAGCTTAGATCGGACGCCTAAAACTGAACCGGAATGAGATTTTGCAAAAGAGTTTTTTTGCTAAATTAATTGACCATTAAAGCTTTCGTTTAGTTGGACGAATGACGGCCAATATCTGGCACTTGGTCTCGCAACAGGTGTGATCAGTTTGCGAAACAAAAACGGAGATGATACCAAGGTCAAAATAGAGAGACCTGGAGGTAGCTCTTCCCTGCCCATTTGGGCTCTCCAATGGAGTCCCGCCAAAGACGATTCTCAAGACATATTGGCAGTAGCAGACTGGAACCGAAAGCTTTCATTCTATCGACTAAACGGAACGTCGGTCAGCAAAGACGTTGACATTAGATTTGACCCTTTGTTTCTGAAATTCTTCGCGTCCAATGATTTTATTGTGTGTGGTGGTTCGGGTAATGCCGTGAGTTTGTTCACGAAAGAAGGAAAAGAGATAGGAGTTATTGCCGATTCGAAAACCCCCAATGTCCTGGTAGATAGTTGGGTAACATGTTGTGCACCGCATCCGGAAGAAAACGCGGTAGTGATTGGTACGGCATCGGGTAAAGTAGCGAAGATGGCGATTACATTTAGCACTGTTCATGGGTTATACCGCGAACGATACGTGTACAGAGTTGGGGTTACTGACGTGATAGTTCAACATCTGTTGACCTCTGATAAGGTCAGAATTCGATGCAAAGAATTGATAAAGAAAGTCGCCGTGTACAAAAATAAACTAGCTATTCAATTGAATAGCAGAATTCTTATCTACGAGTTGAACGATGCAGACTCTATGACATACAGGATCCACAGTATGATGCACATGAACATAGATTGTAACCTGCTGGTCGTTACATGTGAACATGTAATCCTATGTATGGAATCAAAGCTACAGTCCATAACTTTTGATGGAGTTACTGAACGTGAATGGATTCTAGACTCATCGATTCGGTACATCAAAGTTATTGGAGGCGCTAAAGGTCGAGAAGGCTTACTTGTTGCTCTCTCTAGCGGTCAAGTTCTGCTTGTGTATATAGATAACCCATTTCCCATAAGCGTGCTGAAGCATTCATTGCCGATTCGTTGCCTGGACATGAGCTCTCAACGAAAGAAAATAGCAATTGTCGACGAGGAAAACATGTGCTTAGTTTTCGATGTCAAAACTAAAGAACTTCTGTACCAAGAACCGAATGCAAATAGTGTAGCTTGGAACACACACAACGAGGAAATGTTGTGCTTCTCGGGGAAAGATACATTGAACATAAAAGCGTCGACGTTCCCAGCTCACCAGCAGAAAATGTCGGGATATGTTGTTGGTTTCTGTGGATCCAATGTCTTCTGTCTCGGATCTGCTTCTACGATGACTTCGGTCGAAGTTCCCCAATCGGCCGCAATGTATCAGTACCTAGAGCGCAAGGAGTTCAGATCTGCATATGAAGTTGCATGCCTAGGAGTTACAGATACAGACTGGACAAACTTGGGTAAACAGGCCTTAGACGCGTTACAATTGGAAATAGCAAAGCAAGCCTTCAAGAAGACGAGAAATCTGACAATGTTGGAGCTGATTCACTCGATTGAAGAGCGAAGTCGAAGGAACCCAATTACAGAACCAAATAACCAAATGATGTTCCAAGCGGATATTGCAGCCTATAGGGGCGAGTTTTCAAATGCAGCTAAAATGTACAGAAAGGCGGGTCAGGATAACAGAGCGGCCACAATGTATACTGATCTGAGAATGTTCAAAGAGGCTCAAGAGTTCATGGGTGATTCGACCGAGAAGGAAAAGAAAGAGTTGATTTCAAAACAAGCTGAATGGGCAAAAACTACGAATGATGCTCTAACTGCAGCGACAATGTTCTGGGAAGCGGGACAACGACTGAAAGCTCTGGAGATATACGGAGAAAGTAGAAATTACAATGAGTTACAGAATAAGTTGATATTTTTGGACAAGGCAGATAAGAATGAGCTGAAGTTATGTTCGAGATATTTCAAAGAGGGAGGTCAGTTAGCCTACGCGGCTGAAGCTTATCAGAAGCTGGGCGACAAGAAAGGTAATAGCAAGAAAGGCGACAAGAGCAAGTGACTTGTAATCCGGAACTAGACCTTTTTTTCTCATAAACAACTCTTCTTACATATTATGCTGCACGTATTTCTTCCATTGCACGTATATCACTGACTGCATATATTTCTTACCTTGTACAAGCTGACACGCTCAAATTCGAATAAAACTATTTTCTAGATCATTCAAGGTGGAAACTAATTTTCAAAATTTTTTGAAAAAATACTGATTTGTTTTTGAATTTGAGATATTTGTCTTAATTTCTGTTGGCTCTTTTTCCGTTTTTTTTTTCCAAATGCATATTACCCTCGCGATAAGCAAGGGTTTTGCAACCGGGTACTAATTTTTTTCCCGTAATCAACTTTGTCCACAGATTTCGCATGTGAGTTGAATTAGCACGCGTTTTACTGCAGAGATAAACGCAGTATGTTCATGTTAGGTATATGCCTTGTGTACCTGTCAGGGATTGTGCCAAAAAATTCGTTAGTTTCAGCTTTAATTCCGTCGGCTCATTTTCCGAGTTAATTTTTTTCAATTACTTTTTGTTGGTTTTTAGAAGAATGATTGAAGTCTTACAAAATGTTTTGAGCAAATCTAGATCACTTTCACAGACCCTTCGTTATAAAATTGAAAACTTAAAAAATGAAAAAAAAAATTAAATGGTCGAATTTTTTTTGAAATTTAAAAAAGATATATTTTTATTGTTTTTGTTTTCAGTTTGCACAATAACTTTGGTTTTAACCTTTCATGCTTTTGTTTGTTCAATCAGCTGTTTTTATCAATTTTTTTGGTGTAGGTAAATGAGAGTATGTGTTTTCGCAGTTTTTTATTTTTTGTTAGTTTGAAAAAACAACAATTGAAATTATGTTCTCATTGCTTTTTAGCCCATATTGTTTTGAAAAGTACTGGTCAGAATCTTCGGATTTTTTTCAAAAGTTTTTTCAGGATAGTGTTAAGATCACATTTGTTGTGTTTCTAATCTAATTTGTCTAAGCTTCTGAAAATTTGAATAATATCTTTCATTTACTTATTTAAAAAGTATATCAGAGTTAGTGGTTTTTGGTTTCTTTCATCAGTGCAGTTTACCAATGGTTTGATTGCGTGTCTTCGGAAGACTTCGATGAATAGTAGGCAGTAAGTAAGTTGGAGGTAGGCCGATTTTGTTGCTTAACGTTTTTTAAAATGTTTTTCCAACTGTTTCATAATCTGATTTTTTGATAACTTTTTTCTTGACTTGCCATTTTTGCATTGCAAGTGGTGCGAAGCTCTGAGTCGCATCGCTGTGTTTTATGTGGTTCACTTTTCAGGCAGTTAATTTCCAATGTTTGGGTTTTTTTCATTCAAAGAGTTTTTTCTATAATTGAAACTTGGTCTGTTAGTAAATTAAGCAACTCTGATTTTATATAATTTTTTTTGTTTTTTTTTTCGTTAAACGGGTTCTGCTATTGTTATATCGGTTGCGTCAATTCATAATGCCTACTTTTTAGGCTACCTTTTAACTGTTTTTGCCTGCTTCAATAAGATAGGGCCATGAAAAGTTTGATTGTTACTTTAGCGATTTGTAATGTCATATTGGGTATCCACATTTTTTCCAACCTATGTCGCAGATAGAGATGCTCATTTTTAGCGGTGTTTTTGCTTTTTTATATATCTGGTTAACTTTGCTTCTTAGCTTTATATTTTAGTTTCTTGCTTATTGCTGACTAGTTGCTGTTTGATAAAGATATCAATCAAAATGAAAATGTTAGTGTGTGACATATCGAAAATTTTGCTGTGTTCGCCAAAATTCCAGATTTTTCCGAGATTTAGTTCAAGATTTTCATTAAAAGGTTACCAATGGATAGGCTGGTTACTACTCTGCTCTTATAGTCGGCTTCTCTCTTTTTTTTGCTTTTTGGGCATTTTTATTCTCGGAAGCTACCATGACAAATCTGAGATTGAGGATTAAATCAGAAGAGCTTGTTTTGGGTATAAGTTTTGGATAAGCTGCTACGCCCTATTTTTGGTAGAAAAAGTGTTTTGGTATTCTAAATTTTGACCGTTTTTCAGAATATTTTTCATTTTTTTTCGAAAACGGCTGCCAAATTAATGTCTTATTGAAAGAACAGAGTGCGAGTCTTCGCTGCACAACTGGTGTTGCCCTATTTTCTTAATAAATAAAGTAATCTCCTTGAAAAAAAACAATTTTTGATATTTTGCTAGTTTTTTTTGGGAACTTAGTGACTTTGAATTTGTTTTTTGCCTTAGTTTCCACTCGGTCATTGATTCTTAATTTTTGTTAAGGTCGTTTATGAACATCATCCGAAACAAAGGTATGAGAATTTTCTTGATTTTTGAATTGCTTCTTTTTTCTTTTCAATATCTTGTTTTTAAGAGTGAACGTAGTGACTACTGTTATATAGGTCTTGCTGATTTTTTTTGTTTTTTTTCTGAAGTTTGTTCATGCTCGCTTTTGATTTTTCGCGGTTTGACCTGTGACTTCTAACTTCGAAAATGGTAATTAATTATCAGATTTACCCAATAAAAATTTTACTTATTGATCCAGTTTCTCAAATTAGCTTACTGTTTACAGAAAGTTGTCCATCATAAATTGTTCTTTAATTTCAAATAGCTGTGATGGCCATCTATTATTTTCTTCGAAATTCAAAAGTTGAAGATTTTTGAAAAAAAAACAAGTCCATTTTTTTAAGTTTCATTGCGTTCATTACTCTTTTCCAACTGTCATTTGGCAATGTTTTGAATGGTATCGCAAGTGTTGCGAAGCTCAGCTTTACCTCTGTGTAACTAAATATTTTTAAGAGTCGATGAACGTAGTCAGACTTTTATATAGGTCGTGATATTTTTTTCGGATCAAATTTACCTTTTCGCGGTTTGGTTTGACTTCTGATTTTTCAAAGTTCAGTTCGTTTTTTTTTTGTTTATTAAAGGGAAGATAAACTCCATGTTAATTTCACGAAAAAGTGGAATTCAAATATCGAATTTTGCAGCGAAATAAAAGTTTTACCGATTGATCCAGTTTTCTCAAATTGGGTTGATTTTACCAAAAAAGTGTCAATCATAAAGTGTTCTAGAAATTCAAGAGCTTGAAGGCCATCTGTTTTTTTCTTTCGAGTGCTGAGTTTTATAAAAAAAGATTTTCTATTTTTTTTTTTTCAGTTTTGTTTGCGTTCATTGACTCTTTTCCAACAGTCTGTTGGCTAATTTTAGCATATCTAGCTGCTTTATTTGTGGCTAATGTTCGCAAGTTTTCAAGGGATCGTAGCTCAGATGCGAGGACAGTGGTCAAGTTTTCTTGTCGTATGATCGATTCCGTCACAGAGAAAGTTTTTCTAACTGTCAGTTGGCTTTGTTCGAAATTATGAAAAAAAAACAGATTTTGACGAACGATTTTTTTTTTCAAAATTTTGTGATGTTGGTTATTGCTGTCTTAACCTTAGGTTTTTCTTCTCAAGCAGCATTTTTTTCCTTGCAAAATTTTGCAGGGAACTAGTTCTGAGCTAACTGTTGTTCTACCGATTGATTAAGGGAATGTTAATTGTAGTTACTGATTCCAGGCCTTGTTGACCTCTTCGTACAGTTCCATTCATGGGAACAAGCTTTTGAGTTCGTGCGCAACAACCCTGAATTCAAAGAGGACGTCTTCTTCCCCTACGCTAAACACCTGGCTGAGGAGCAAGGAGACTTCGAGCGTGCACAAGAGTTCTTCTTCAAGGCAGGCAAAGAAGAAGAGGCCGGGAAAGTTCTAGAAGCTTTGACCAAAAACGCTGTTGATCAAAATCGGTTCGAGGACGCAGGATTCTTCTACTGGAAGCTATCGGCTATGTGTATAAAAATGGCATGCACTCATGGCGAGAAAGAACAAGCGATGATGTCGAAATACTACAGCTTCCAGAAACTGGCTACAATGTACTACACCTTCCACGCAGTTCATAGATACACTGAGGAACCATTCACGTCTCATTTACCCGAAGTTCTCTTCAGTATTTGCAGGTTTCTGCTGCATTCCATGCTCGAAAAAGGACATTTCAGTTTCGTTCCAAAAGGCATATCAAAGGTGGCTACCTTTTTAACGCTTGCAAAGCAAAGTTCCAACCCAAATATCGCTGCTTATAAACTGGCGAGACAAGCGTATGATAACTTGCAACGGTTGAGCGTACCTGTTAAGCATCAGGAGAGCATAGATATTGGAACTCTTAGTGTGAAAGCGAAGCCCTGTTCTGATAATGCGGAGGTAGAACCTCTGTGCTTCCGATGTCTTCAGAAGAATCCCTTGCTCAATAGACTGGGTAACTCGTGTGTGAATTGCAAGCAGCCGTTCAACTTTTCGTTCATTGGGTTTGAGATCCTACCACTCGTTGAGTTTGTACCTGAAAGTGGAATTTCAAGAGACGAGGCCATGCAACTGATATCTTTGGAACCACCAAAGTGAGTACTGTATTATAATTCGTGTCAAATCTTGTTTTTTTTTCTCAAAATGAGAACTGACCTAAGTTTTTCTCAGGAAATATCAGAAATGGCACTCAAGATTGACCTATATGAAATACCAGTTTCAAAAAAAAATCGATTTGCTTGTATCTGGCAAATTTTTTTGTATAGCTTAAAGTTAAGACGATTTGTCCACGAGGGATGTGATCTTGCACTATGTGCCTCGACTATGTGATCTTGCAGTAAAGAGGCAGAGAGTTGGCGGCTTTCCCATTGCTTTCTTCTTTGGTGTTAGAAAAACAAAAAATACGGCTAATGGTTTTGTACTTTCCGAAATGTTTGGACCCGAAATAAAACTGATTAGAACCTAATAAAAATAAAAATGATTAGGTCCGGAAAGAAACCAAATCAAGACCGAGACTTAATCCGACAGGAGAACGGATACGAACAACTTCGGCTTGGAGATGACGAACCTCTCGGTGACGAAGGAGACGACGAAAGTGCAATGGAACGACTCATTAACACCGAAATGATGTCACTCGGGGCACAAGACTCCTATGAAGCAATCCGAGTCAGTCGAGACATTCTAAAGTCTCTGGAACCCACAGCGGTTCTAGTCCAGAAATGGGACGAACCGCTGCAATGGCAATTTCACTGGATGCGTCTGAGAACCCAACCTATAACGGTCTGCTCATCGTGTCAGTTCATGTTCTTAACCGATGACTGGTTTCTAGCGTCTCTGTCAAAGGGTCACTGTCCTTTTTGCCGGAGAACCAGTTCAAGAAATGATCACATCGCAAGCACGAATTCTAACTTATATGTACAAAATGGACTCCCGTCTAGCAACGGATACCTAAATGGAATTCTGTAAATGAAGTGTAAATATTTTGTGCATATTCATGAAATTTATTTGGCTTCCCAATTTTGAAACTCAACTAAGCCTTGCTAAAGACTATTGCTGCCTTAATGCGAATTCTGTATTGGGATGTCTATATTCCTTGTAACTCTACTCTCGCGTGATTTGAAACGGCATTAAATGTAAATATGTAGAAATATTGTCAATTAAAATTTCTAGAAATTGTTGCTGATTAGACCAAAGCTGAGTAATAAAGGGAAACCCGACCAAGAAACCTGAATCATAAGTGGATTATTCTTATTTCTTTTTGCTTCTTTATTCTAAAACTGTACTACTTCAAAGAAAAAGTTCGAGTACTCGGCAAATTGCTGTATATCTTCCGTGTGCTCCATGGAAGGGGAATTTTGTTTCTAGTAATATGTGATCTTGGTGTTTTTCAAGTTCTGCTTGATGTGCTTCATCTGGAAAAACTGAAAGTTTACAAGGTTTCTGTTTGTTCCTTCGTTTGGTGTTAAGTTGAGTCGTTTTAATTCGTTTTTACAGTCTTGAGGGCTGAGATGTAATAATATTTCAATATTACTTTGGTAGAAAGATTCGTGATCCGATCTATTTTCATTTCCGTTTGAAACTTGTGAACTATGTACTTTCTTTTCGGAAAATGTTGCTGTAAATTTGTATCCTGTTAGTGTTGTCGCTCGGGCTTTTGAGTATAGTGTAGCTATTATATTGGTTGTTTCTATAGCTTGCGGTTCGGATTCACATTGTGTGACTTGATTTACAGCATATTTGTGTAGTGTTTTTTGTTCGTTTTCTTCACAATCGTAGTGTGTTACTAATAAATCTTGGAGTCCTGTACGAGAGGGATTTTTTTTATATTTACATATTGTCATAATAAGTGATGTTGAAAATGTGAGAAAAGTTAGAAATAGCAGAAAGATATCTGTTCTACTAAATAGATTACGAAACATTTACATAGTTATGAAGTTATCGTACCTGAGGAGGTTATCAAGTATTGTGGAGAGGGTTATATATACTTCAAAGGAGTAGAAAATTTAAAAAAGATTGCAAAATACTATGAAAAGTATGAATAGGTTTTCTATGATATTAGTTAAAAATACTGTAAATTTTTTTAGAAGATTTGAAAGGTTTATTAAAAGTTTGAAAAAAATTTGTTTGAATTTAGTGACCGTTGTTGAGAGAAGACTTGAAGAAGTGATTTGGTTTGTCAAATCTTTTTCAATTTTTTGGGGCTAAATTCGAGTGTGGTCGGATTATTTATTGATTTTTGCTAAGTGGGTTGGATTTCGTCAAGTGTTGCTGAGGGGTTATTTTGAGATGTCGGGGAGATCTTCGTAGCTTTGTTTTTATTTATGGAATAATTGGGGGTATCCAAGAAATATTCATACCTTAGGCTAAATGATCATGTGCTTTTTGTTCTTTAGGTTAATTTAATAATTTTGCTCGAGGGGTTTGTGAGTGTTAAGTTGAGAAAATATTGTTGATCTTTGTACTGCTTGATAGGGAAGGGTTGTAATATTGAGATTATATTTCTTTTAGTTGTCATTTTGTAGCGGTTTGCTTATTTTTGACCTGGAGGTCTTGACGTTAGTTATAGATAAGCTTGGAGGTGAATATGTGTCGGCTAATAAAGTCGTATTGCTATTAATAAAGTGTTTTATTCGGGACGATTTCTATTGGTTGAATTTGAACTAGATCTGTTCGATTATTTTTCAGCATGATATTTTAAAAATGTGGATTGTGCAAAAGAATTAAAAGAAAATTATGGAGATTGAAAGTGAAAGTTATTTTTTAAATTCGACTTTCTTTAATGTTTTGGATTGTGGAATGAAGGTTTTATAGTTTTTTCCTGGTTGACTTCTGAGTCGTGATGATTCTGTATGTTCAGATTTTTCTTTTTGATCTTGTGGTAAAATTTTTTCTGTCATTTTCCTATTTTTTCTTTCTTTTTGAGATATTTGTGTTATTGGCTTAAGAGATATTTGGTTAACATTTTCTTTTATTCATCTAATTTTGAGCTTGTTTGTTCATCGGTGTGGTGATTTAGTTTAGTTTCTGAATTGTTTTGAACAATTTTTAAAACTGTGAAAGAATATAGTTGTGTTAATTCACGGAAGGCATATTCTTTTGGGTATTAAGGTTAATAGGTTATTTCGGTGTTGAATAATTTCTTTTTTATTTGTGTCGATCAATTTGTATGTGACATCAGTGGGTTTCTCAATTATTTGATATGGTCCTTTTCGGAGCAGTTGTAACTTTTTAGAAGTTCCTTTTTTTGTTGTAAAATTGGGAATTAAAACAAATGTTCCTATTTTTAGATTTGTTGCTGGTGTACAGCGTGAATTAATTTGGGTATTTGTGTTTTGTCTTTGAAGTAATTTTTTGTTATTTTTTGATAAATTTCATTGTGTTTTTCATCTCTATTTAAAATCCATTCGGTGTGGGTACCGAAAGCTAATTTTAAAATTTGTGGATGATGAAAGTGTTCTTCTTCATGGGTATGTAGTGATAGATTATAACAAATTGAATCTTTGTTTGGTTGACAATAACCTTGTGCATTTTTGTGGGCGTTTGCTGTAAACGTTTTTGGTTTACGTGGTTTTTGGTTGAAAACCATTTCATATGGTGATATTCTCATTGTTGTTGTAATTTGTGGATTATATGAAAGTGGAAATAATTTTACATCTGACCATTCAGTATATCGGGTATCATTTCCATTAATGATACATCTGAGGTATTCTTGTAATGAACGGTTCATACCTTCGACTAATCCATTTGTCCAAGGTGCATGAGATGTACGTGGTTTATGTTCAATGTTATAAAGGTGGCATAATGTGATGATTTCATTATTTATAAATTCAGTGCCATTGTCTGTGACTAAAATTTCGGGTAATCCAAATTTAGCTATTCAGTGTTCGTAGAGTGTTGTATATGCCTAATAAGCATTACAATGGGGTACTGGATTAAGTGCTACATAATGTGTAAATGCATCAACAAACACCATGATATATGAGTTTCCTTCTGAAGATGGTGAAATTGGTCCTTTTGTGTCAAATGATATTGTGATTAAAATCAAGACTTTGTCCTTTAAAATCTTGTTTTTCTGCGATTTGTTTTTGATTTGGATAGGGTTTATTTAATTGGCATATTATACAATCGTTGCATAAAACTTTTATTCAAATTGGTGCTTTAGGAAAATAAACATTTTGTATAAAATTAGAATATGTTTTTCTGATCCAGAATGTACTTTTGTATTTAAGGTATGGGAAGTATTAAATGCGATTAGCATCATACTTAAAGGTAGACATGGTACTTTAAAATCAGGTGTTTGATATTCTAGAATGTCTGTGTTTTCATTTATGGTGGTATTATTAAATTTTCTGAAATATTTAAGGAGTGTTTTGTATCAGCTTTTGTTGGCTTTGTTTTATATTTGTGCCATGATTTGAGCTGTCTAATGACGGGGTCAAGGTTTAGGTGTTTTTGTAATAATTCAAGTGTTATTTTTTCTGTTGTTGGTAGAAAATTTTTTTCTATTTCGATTTTTTGTAGGGGTATTGCATCAAGTGGGTCATGAAGATTAAAAACTTGATTTATCGTGTATTTTGAATCATTTGGTAGCGGGCCTGAAAATTTTATGGTATCACAGGTTTTCCTTTTCTGTTAAAGGAAATGTGTCTTTTTTATGTGGTTGTTGTTTATTTCGTTTTTGTTGAGTATTATTTTTGATCCAATGTGAATATGGAATTTGCTTGAATGTAGATGTTCCTAATAAATCAACTTCATAATGGTTGCTTTGACAATCTAAATAGAGTGGAAAATGTTGTAGATTGTTTTTTTTTGTGACTGATCTATGTCAGTTTTTACTGCGTATTTACATTCTAATCGAGGTGAAGTTTCATCTTAGGCGAGATAAAATTATATGTTTTGTGGTATTTCGAATGTTGTTTTTCTTGTTAATAGTTCAGGTGGTGTATTTCTACTAAGAGTATCAGGTAGTGCAAGATTTTATCCTGCTGTCCATACTATGATTGCATACTATGATGGGCATGATTGCATGAAAACATCGTCTAAATACATGATTGCCTTTCTACTAAGTATGAGTGGTCTAAAAATTTTACACATGAAGGCTGAGAAAGCTGCTGGTCCTATGGATATACCATAGAATAATCTATTAATTTCGTATTGTTGGTTTCCAATAACGAATTATGTTAATCGTCGTGATTGTTCATCGAGTGGCATTTGGTTATATGCACTATTCGTGTCTGCGGTTGTGAAGTATTTACCGTTTATCTTTGTTGAAATTACTTGAATTAGTTCTATTGGCCAATTACATTTAGACTCATCAATGAGTGAATTGAGATATCTGGCGTCTAGAACTATTTTTAGTGATTCTCCTTTAGCGTGAATAATAACAGGGTTTTTAAAGCTGTTGCCTTTTGGTTGCTCTTCTTTGTTTACTGGAGATATGATTTCGTATTGTTCTAGAATGTCAAGTAATCTATTAACTTTGTCATGTAAGCGAATTGGTACTTTGCTTGCTCTTTCTTGTTTGAAAACTGCGTCAGGTTTCAAGGGTAAATGTAGTGGTGAATTTCTTTTTCCAACATCAAATTTAGATTTTGCTTAAACTGCTGGATATCTTAACAGTAAATCGGTTAGTTTTTCAAATTCCTTCTGTGTTATTTGAGAGTTTTGAAAATTGAACATTGTTAAGAATTTTTGTTGCTCTTCTGTATAGTGTGATATTTTGATGTTGGTTTAAAATAAGGTGTTTTTGTGAATTAGTCTGTGTTCTTTTTCATTGCTAATTATATTATTAATTGATAATTCTTCATCGAGAATTGTCGATTGACATATATCTAGTAATTGTAATATATTATTTACTCTGTATGCTACTTCTTTTCTGGGGAAAGTGTTGCATTGGTTTCACAATATCCTAGAAGTCCTAAAGGTAAAGTTATTTTATATGGAGAATTTTTATATACATGAAGAGAAATTATATCGGAGTTTGAGCTTTTCATGTGTTTTATGGATGAAATTGTTATTCAAAAAAATTTTTGAACTGGTCTAAATTCAAAGTCAGACATATATAGATGTTGTCTGTTTTGACTTTTGTCGTTATGGTGAACTTGTTTAATCGGAAATTCGTAAATGTATCCTGAGAGTGGCTTAAGATGTTTTCTTGCTTTATTATAGATGGCGTAAAACTTTGAAAAGAATGGTGGTTGTTTGTTCTTTGGAAGAATGTTAA